TAGGCCATTTGGGGGCTCTCTTGGGCCGTCTCGGGGGCCCCGCGGGCCGTCCTGAGGCCGTGGTCGGGGTCTCGGGCCGTCTTGGAGCTTGCTTTGGGGCCTGTTCGGCAGCTCCTAGGGCCCTCTTGGGGCTGTCTTGGGTGCCACTGGAAGCTCTATGAGGGTATCGCGGGCCTCTCTGGGGCAATCTTGGGGCCCTCTTGGGCGGGGCTCTTGGCGGGGCCTCCTGGACCGTCTTGGGGAGCGATCGGGGGCTTCCTGGGACGTCTCCGGCGTGCGGGAAGCAAGAGAAGGGAGAGCACGGACATCATTTGAAAAACCATAGGACATCGTCCATTTACTCTCGTCGAGGCCTGTCTGGGGGTCCTCTCGGAGCCTTCGAGAGCGACCTGAGCTCTGCTGAGGCCGCCGAAAATACAAGCTCGGCCCGCCCAAGGTTGCGCTTGGGCCGTGCTGGAGTTTTCTTGGGCCGTCTTGGGGCTCATCGGAGCGCTCAGGAGCAGCCACGGATCGTCGGAGACGCGGCCGGGGGCCGTGAGCGCGGTGAGGGGCCACGCACTTTCGCACGCGCTTCGCCTAACATTGCAGTAGAGACTAATGTGAACCCGTGGGGAATCCACGCTGGCAGGTAAAGGTGTCGGTCCCGAACACAGATGTGTCGTTGACGTCTGCGGGTTTGCTGCGGGGTCTGATGCAGGCTCTGGGCTCTGGGGGCGGAGGCTGTCTTCGAGTGTCTTGCGAGGGTCTGGGCTATCTTGGAGTGGTCCGTAGATGGTGTTTTGTTTTGGCATCAAGGCTTCCCGCAGTCCAGTCTCGCTGAAGTCTCAGGCAGGAGGATGCGGAGGAGGAGGAGGAGGAGGAGGAGGAGGAGCAAGACGAGCAGGAGGAGGAGGAGGAGGAGGAGGAGGAGGAGGAGGAGGAGGACAGCGTTGCTGGAAATGGGTGGGGCGGGTGCAGGCTCCCAGAAGAGGCCGAGGCAGAGAAGATCGGAGGAGGCCCCCATTGTCACCTCTGATCGCAGAGGGGGGGGGCGCCAGAAGTGATGGGGTGCCCTCGTGGGCCACTGGGGCCCCCCCGGACCACTCTGGTGCCCCTCTCGGGCCATGCGGGTGCCCCCTCGAGCGACGAAGCCCAAAATGAGGGAGGGAGGAAGAGCTCCGCTTGGCCGCAAAGGTAACGAGAAGCTGGTGCCCGCAGTGTCTGCAGCTCCCTCCTCCTCCTCCTCCTCCTCCTCCCCTCCTCCTCCTCCTCCTCCTCCTCCGCCTACTCTCTTCCTACTCTGATTCCTCCCCTCCTCCTCCTGCTGCTGCTGCTCCTCCTCCTCATCCTTCCTCCTCCTCTGCTGCTCCTCCTCCTCCTCCTCCTCCTCTCCCTTCCTCCTCCTCCTCCTCCTCCTCCTCCTCCTCCTCTCCTCCTCCTCCTCCTCCTCCTCCCCTCCTCCTCCTCCTCCTCCCCATCCCCCTCCTCCTCCTCCTCCTCCTCCTCCTCCTCATCCTCCTCCTCCTCCTCCTCCTCCTCCTCCTCCTCCGCTTCCTCCTCCTCCTCCTCCTCCTCCTCCTCCTCCTCCCCCATCCTCCTCCTCCTCCTCCTCCTCCTCCTCCTCCTCCTCCTCCTCCTCCCTCCTCCTCCTCCTCCTCCTCCTCCTCCTCCTCCTCCTCCTCCTCTTCCCGTCCCCTCCTGCCCCTCCTTCTCCTCCTCCTCCGCCTCCTCCTGCTGCTCGTCCTCGGCGGTAGAGGGGAAGCGACCGGCGTGGCAGGCCCCCCCCCTGTCACCCCTAACAGGCGGAGCGGAGGCCCAAGGGCGGCCAGAGCCTCGATGGAAGGATGAAGAGATCAGGGGAGCACCCCCCTGTCATCCCTGATAGGCCGTAGGGAGGAGGTCTTTTGAGGGCGACTCTGGGTCACCTCAGAGTGGTCCTGGGATAGCTCCTTGGAAGTCCCTTCTTGGGAGACTCCTGTCACCTCGATGAGGGAAGAAGGAAGCGATCGGAGGAAGTCTTGAGGGGGAGGTCTTGAGGGCCGACTCTGGGCCATCTCGTAGTGGTCCAGGGATCGCTCTTGGGAGCTCCGTGGAAGCTCTGGGAATCTCTTCCTGGGACCGCTCTTGGGTATCAGTGTCGCTTGGCATGCGTCGGAGTCTTGTGGGCGACTCTGGGGCATCTCGGAGTGCCCCTGGGACCGCTTCGTGGGGTCTCTCTTGAGCCTCCAGGAGCTCCCTGGGCCCATTTTGGGCCTTTCTTGGGCCGTCTCGAGGGCCTCTTGGGCCGTCCTGGGGACAGTAAGGGGGTCTCGGGCCATCTTGGAGCTCGATTTCGCGCCTGTTGGGCAGCTTCTAGGGCCCATTGGGGCTGTCTTGGGGGCCACCAGGGGCTCCATGAGGCTGTTTTGGGTTTCTGCTGGGCAGTCTTCGGGCCCTCTGGGGCCGTCGGTGCCACTGCTCTTGGCCCGAAATGGCGAGAACATGGGAAATCTTCGAAAACCAATCGGAACATGTATTCACTTGACCTCGGGGGTCGGTCAGTGGGATCCGGTTCGGTCGTTTTCGGAAGCACCTGGCCAGTCCTCGGGCTGTCTTGGGCTGTCATGTGGCTCCGTTCGCGTCCTCTTGGGCCGTTCTCGCGCGCTCTGGAGCGTCTCAGAGCTGTCTTGGGACTATCAGAGGCAGTCTTGGGCCAGCTGGGAGCTCTCCGGGGTCGTCGATGAACTTCGGGCGCTCGGGGGAAGCATTTTCACTACAACCCCTTTTCGCACGCGCAACGCCAAGAATTGTAGTATAGACGACGTCGGGCTCAAGCTTCGCCTCACACATTTCGCTGAGCAGCGTCAGAGCCCTCTGCCACTGCAGGCCCTTCTCGCAAGCGCTGATCCCAGCGCTGTAGCTGACTGGGAGGGCTGACCCGTGGACTCTTTCCACGACATCTTGCCGAAATGGTTCTATGGGGGAGCGGCGGAAACGCTGCCGAAAGGCCACCTGGCGTGAGCCCGTTCTCCAGCAGCACCCCGCTTTGGACGTTGGCAGTGGCAGCGACGGCGACGATGACGGTGGCGCGCGGCACGCCGCCGGCGCCTTGGCCAGTGGTTGGGGCCCATACTCTTGGTGGTCGTCGTGGTCGTCGTCTTCGTGGTTGTCGTGGTCGTGGTCGCAGCCCTGTCGGGATCTCTTTTTGTGAAGCGAGCGTACGGCGCTTAAGCGGACAGGTTCAGCTGTAATCGTCGTGGTCGTGGTCGTGGTCGTTGTCGTCGTCGTCGCCACCCTGTCAGAATATCCTTGTTTATGGAGACGGGTCAACGCTTTATGGAGACAGGTTCGTTGAGCTGGAATCGTCGTCGTCTTCATCGTCGCAGCCGTCGTCATCATCGTCTTCGTCGTCGTCGGCGTCCTCGTCGTGGTCGTCGCGGTCGTGGTCACAGCCCAATCGGAATATCCCTTTTTATGAAAACGGGTTCACTTTTGTGGGGAGCCCGATTCAGCTGGAGTCGTCGTGGTCGTCGTCGCCCCGGTCGTCGTCGTCGTCGTCGTCGTCGTCGTCGTCGTGGCGGTCGTCATGGCGGTCGCAGCCCTGTCGGAGAATCCCTGTTTTATGAAAACGGGTTCAGCCCGAGGAGTCGTCGTGGTCGTCGTCGCCGTGGTCGTCGTCTTCGTGGTCGTCGTCGTCGTGGTCGCCGCCCTGTCGTAGTACCCCTGTTTATGAAGACGGATGAACGCTATATGGAGACAGGTTCAGCTGGAATCGTCGTCGTCGTCCTCGTCGTCGCGGTCGTCGTCGTTGTCGTCGTCGACGGCACAGCATATTTGGCGAGGAGGGGGGAGGAGACGGGAGGAGGGATGGAAGGGGCCCCCGGGTTATCTCAGCTGAGCCGAGCCCCCGTGGTCCGCTCTTGTTCGGCTGGAGGGTTTGGCGAGGCCCTCGGGCGAATAGAATGGCACAGCATATCTGGAAAGGAGGGGGGCGGCAGTTGGCACGTATCCCCGGGGGCCCCCTTTGTTTGCCTAACGGGTTCGGATGGCACCGGACATGTGGCGAGGAGGGAGGGAGGAGACGGGAGGAGGGATGGAGGGGACCCGGTGTAATCTCAGTCGCCCGGGCCCCTGGGGTCCGCTCTTGTTCGCGCACAGGGTTTTGAGAGGCCTTCTCAAGAACAGAATGGCACAGCATATCTGGAAAAGAGGGGGAAGGAGTTGGCCCAGGTTCCCGAGATCCCCTCTTGTTCGCCCAGAGTGTTTGGAGAGGCTTCTGGGCGAACAGGATGGCACGTAATGTATGGCGAGGACGGGGGGAAGAGACGGGAGGAGGGAGGGAGGGGGAGGAAGGTGGCGATAGGCTCAGCCTTCCGACCTAGCTATACCCGGGTCGTCTCGGGCCGCTCGTGGGAGCGGAGCCGCTTGGGCCATCTTAGGGCGATCTTGGGGGTTCTTTTGGGCTGTCTGTCAGTGTCGGGAGCCCGAAGAGGCGAGAATGCCAAAACTGGTCCAAAACCACAGAAGAAAACTGATTGTCGCCTTTGGGGTTCCTTTCGGGGGTGCTGTTGGAGCGCTCCTGAGGCCTCATGGGGGTGTTTTGGGGCACATTGGGAGGCTCCTGGAGGGCTCTTGGCGCTTCCTGGGGGCCTCTTGGGGTGGAGTGCAGCGTCTTTGGGATCCCTGGGGGCCTCTTGGGGCCTCTGCTGCGCTCTCAGACGCCGTCGTGGGTCGTGGGGACCTCTTGGGGCAGTCTTGGGGACCTCTTGGACCGTGTCGGGGCGCTCTTGGGAGATTCGTTCGCCATCTTGGGGCGTTCTTGAGCCGTCTAGGGGCGATCCTGGCGGCCTCGGGGGCCCGGCTGGAGCGTTGGAAGCACGAAAAGGCAGGCATGTCAAATCTTTTTAACAAAAAAAAGAAAACCAAAAGGAAATCGACGATTCTGGCCTTCGGGGCTCCTTTGAGAGGACTCTTGGAACGCTCAGGGGATCCCCTTGGGGCCGCGCGGAGCCGTTTTGGAGAATCTGGGCAACTTGGAGCGCTCATGGGCCGTCTTGGAGGCCCTGGGACCGTCTTAGGGGCCATCTTGGAGTGCGCTGGAGCCGCCAGGAGACGCGCTGGAGCCGGCCGAAGCCGCCCGGACGCGCGCGGGGACGCCCGCGCTGCACCTCCTTCTCGCACGCGCATGTCCCTGCAATGTAGAGACTAATTAGTGTGATGCGGTGGATTCAATCCACGGTGCTGAACCTGGGACTCGCACACCGTGGGTGAACAACTCGTCGAAAGTGAACAGCTCGTGCGTCCCTGGGTCCGTGTCGGGGGCATGTCGGGGCTTCCTGCGAGCCGGTATGAGGCATCTTGAAAACCTCTTACGGTTTTGGGGCGCCTCTTGGGCCGTTTCCAGGCTGTCCCCCAGAACCTCTACGGCCCAGGAAACTGATTGAGCCTGTGTGCTGCGAGGTTGCTGTGAGCAGGTCCCGCCTGTCACCCCTGAAGTTAGCAACAGGGTTTGCTCTGGGAGCCGGGGCTGGAAGCTGCCTTCGGATATCCTGGGGCGGTCTGCGCCATCTCGGAAAAGTCCAGGGAGGGATCTCGTGGTCTTGGGGCTGTCTTGGGGGCCACCGAGGGCTCTACTCGGCATGAGGGGGGGGGCGAGAAACAGGTCCCCGCAGTGTCTGCAGGTCCCCCCTCCAGTCATCCCTAATCGGCCGTAGAGGGGAAGCAACAGAAGCGGCTGCGGGTCCCCCCTGTCACCAAAAGAGCGGCTGGAGCCTTAGATGAGGGAAGGATGACGAGATCAGAGGAGGTCCCCCTTGTCACGGGGGGAGGTCTTGAGGGCGACACTGGGCCATCTCAGAGTGGTCCAGGGAACGCTCTTGGGAGCTTCACGGAAACTCTGGGAGTCTCTTCCTGGGAACGCTCATGGTAGCTCCGTGGGAACTGTCGGAGTCTCTTGGCAAGCGTCGGAGTCTCGTGGGCGACTCTGGGGCACCTCGGAGTGCCTCTGGGATCGCTCATTGGGGTCTCAGGAGCTCTCTGGGCCCAATTCGGGCGTTTCTTGGGCCGTCTCGGGGGCCTCTTGGGCCGTCCTGGGGACATGAAAGGGGTCTCGGGCCATCTTGGAGCTCGATTTCGCGCATGTTGGGCAGCTCCTAGGGCCCATTGGGGCTATCTTTGGGGCCACCAGGGGCTCCATGAGGCTGTCTTGGGCTTCTTCTGGGCAAACTTCGGACTATCTGGGACCGTCTTGGAGCACTCGGCGGGGCCTCCTGGACCGTCTTGGCGCGATCTGGGATGAACCTGGAGCCGTCTGGGTCGTTTTTAGCCCGAAATGGCGAAAGCATTGGGAATCTTCGACAACCAGCGGAACCTGTATGCTTCTGGCCTCGCTGGACCGTCTTCGACAACTTTCTGCCGTTTTCCCCAATCACCTGGCCAATCGTCGGGCTGCCTGGGGCTGCCATGGGACTCCGTTCGCGTCCTCTTGGGCCGTTCTCGTGCGCTCCCGAGCGTCTCAGAGCTGTTTGCGGGACTGTCAGAGGCAATCTTGGGGCCCCCTGGGGGCTCTCCGGAGTCGACGGAGAGCGCCGGGGCGCTTCAGGCGCTCGATGGAAGCATTTTCACTACAACCCTTTTCGCACGCGCAACGCTCAGAATTGTATTTCACATGACAGTTGGCTCCAGCTCGGCCTCCCGCATCTCTCCGAACAGCACCATAGCCCGCTTCCACTGCTGGCCTTTCTCGCATGCGCTTATCCCAGCGCTGTAGCTGACTAGGGTTAGGTCGGGCGTGTCCCCCCAAAAGGCGGAGTTTGGACGAAACAAATTGCACTGCGACGCACCCAGCCCATCTGCACCACGTGGCAAGACAAGTCGGCCCGAACTTGCCAGGACAATGACAGCGCAGGCGCCGTTGTATAGTGTGCAAGCTACATCAGATGCGCCCTTCGTGGCGCGTTCCACAGGACAACAAAAGAAGGGCGAGGAGCGAAGGCCCAGGCTCGAAGGGGACACGGGGGCGGGAACGGAGGGCAGAAGAATGGCGCGCGGGGGGCCGAACAGTCAGCACGGAAGCAGCAACGGGAAGGTGGCACGGGGCAGAGGACGACGACGAAACTGACTGGAGGGGGGCGAAGGTGAAGGTGTTGCCTTTGTCGGTAGTGCGCTAATGATGCAGCGCTCGACAGAATGATTCACCCGATGATTGCTGTTGCAACAAGCGGGCCAGGCCTAGCTCGCCCACCAGCTTCCAGGTTTCCTTCTTGTGTCTTTCAGTTCTGGAACTAAACACCCGAAAACGAACCGCCAGGGATGCAGGCGGCCCGCGACAGCGCCCCGCTTTCCTCCCCAGCAGCCCTCGAAAGTGGCGGCAGTGTCGCAGATCGCAGCCCCCCAGGGATGGCGAGGCCGGATTTGGATCCACTACGCTGACCCCCAGCAGGCCTCGAAAGAGGCAACAGTTTTGCCGATCGCAGCCCCACAGGGGTGGCCAGGTCGAATTGGAATCTTCGCAAAACGTCACTCCGCTGGACCCCCCAGCAGCCCTCGAAACCGGCGACACTTTTGGAAAATCGCAGCTCCCCAGGGATGGCGAGGTCTCATGACCCAGCAGCCCTTGAAACTGGCGACATATTAGCAGATCGCACCCCAAATGGGATGGCGATGTATAATATGAATCTGCGGCGCGCCGCTCGTGAACCGGGCGACAATTTCGCAGATCGCAGCCCCCCAGAGATGGCGAGGTTCAGTTTGAGTCCGCGTACGACGTCGATCCGCTGGACCCATCAGCAGCCCTCGAAACTGGCGACAATTTCGCAGATCGCAGCCCCTCAAAGATAGCGAGGTCGACTTTTGGTCCGCGTATGACGTCGCTCCGCTGACCCCCCAGCAAGCTTCGAACGTGGCGACAATTTCGCAGATCGCAACCAGCCAAGGGTGGCGAGGTACCATTTGAATCCGCGTAAGACGTCACTCCGCTGGACCCTCCAGCAACTCTCGAAAGTGGCGACATTTTCGCAGATCGCTGCCCCCCAGGGATGGCGAGGTCTAACCTGAATCTTCGGCGGGTGCCCACTACGCTGGCCACCCAGCAACCCTCGAGATTGGCGGCAATTCCACAGATCGCAGCCCCTGGGAATGGCGAGGTCTAAGCTGAATCCGCGGCGGGCACCCATTATGTTAGCCCCCAAACAGCCCTCGAATGTGGCGAAATTGTCCCTGATCGCAATCCCCCCAGGGATGGCGGGGTCTAATCTGAGTCTGCGTCCATTACCGTCGATGCTGCCCCCCAAGCAGCCCCTCGACAGTGGCGACACTCTCGCAGATCGCGGCGCCCCAGGGATGGCGAGGTCCACTCTGAACCCGCGGCGAGTACCCACTATGCTGGTCCCCCCACAGCCCTCAAAAGTGGCGACGGCTTCACGGATCGCAGCAACCCAAGGACGGCGAGGTCGAATCTGAATCCGCGGAGAGTGTCCACGATGCTGGCCCCCCCAGCAGCCCCGAAAGTGACGACGCTATCGCAGATCGCAGCTCCCCAGGGATGGCGAGGTCTAGTTTGAATCCGTGGCACGTGCCAACTATGCTGGCCCCACGGCACGAGGCCTGGCTCGCCCACCTGATTCCCTGCATCCTTCCTGCACTTCCCAATTCGGGAGCGAAACACTCGAAAACGCTCCGCCAGGTCTGCGGGCGGCCCACGACAGCGCCCCGAGGGACCCCCCAGCAGCCCTCGAAAGTGGCGACACTTTCGCAGATAGGAGCCCCCCACGGACGGCAAGGTTTAATTTGAGTCTGGATCCGCTGTCCCCCCAGCAGCTCTCGAAAGCGGCGGCAGTTTCACAGATCGCAGCCCCCCCAAGGATGACGAGGTCGAATATGAGCGAGTGCCCACTATGATGCCCCCCCCCCAGCAGCCCTGGACAGTGGCGACAGTGTCACAGATCGCACCCCCTCTGGGGTGGCGATGTCTAGTAGGAGTTTGCTGCGAATACCCACGATGCTGGCCTCCCCAGCAAACTTCGAAAGTGGCGACAGTTTCGCAGATCGCAACGCCCGAGAGATGGCGAGGTCTTGTATGAATCCGCGGCGAGTGTCCGCTATGCTGCCCCCCCCCAGCAGCCCTCGAAAATTGCCACAAGTTCGCAAATCGCAGCCCTCCCCAGGGATGGCGAGGTCTAGTTTGAATCCGCGGCGAATGCCCATATCTATGCTGCCTCCCAGCAGCCTTCGAAAGTGGCGGCAGTGTCACAGATCGCGGCGCCCCAGGGATGGCGAGGTCAAATCTAAGCCTGCGGCGAGTACCCACTATGCTGCCCCCCCAGCAGCCTTCGAAAATGGCGACAGTTTCGCAGATCGTGGCGCCCCAGGGATGGCGAGGTCCAATCTGGACTCGCGGCGAGTACCCACTATGCTGGCCCCCCAGCAGCCCGCGAAAGTGGCGACAACTTCGCAGATCGCAGCTCCCCAGGGATGGCGAGGTCTAGTTTGAATCCGCGGCGAGTGCCCACCATCTACGCTGGCCCCCCAGCAGCCATCGAAAGCGGCGGCAGTTGCACAGATCGCAGCCCGACAGGGATGACGAAGTCTAATATGAGTCTGCGGCGAGTACCCACTATGCTGGCCCCCCAGCAGCCCTGGACAGTGGCGACAGTTTCACAGATCGCAGCGCCCGATGGATGGCGAAGTCTAATTTGAATCCGCGGCGAGTGTCCGCTATGCTGCCCCCCAGCAGCCCTCGAAACTGGCGACGGTTTCGCAGATCGCAGCGCCCGAGGGATGGCGAGGTCTATTTTGAATCCGCGGCGAGTAGCCACCATGCTGGGCCCCTTAGCAGCCTTCGAAAGTAGCGACGGTTTCACAGATCGCGGCGCCCCAGGGATGGCGAGAGCAAGCCATGTGAAAGGGAAGGGCAAAGAGGAGAGGAAAAATGAAGACAGAAGCGCAGACAGGAGGGAACAGAGGAGGAGGCGGGCGGGAGATCAGGTTGCGATTGCAGTGTTTTATACAAAACGAGTACCTAACGTTGGAGGGTTAGGAAAACATGGTGTTTAAAACATTGTAGAATTACCCTGGCGACGTACCCAACCCCTGCGCCATGCGGGGCTTGAGTAGCGTGGGAGACGTTATACGGGGGTGATGGCGTGGCATGGGCGCACTTACTTCTGCGACCGGCATTTGTGAGGCTCGCAACACCCTAAGGATTGCGTGGTCCCGCTCAGATCTGCGTGGTGCCTCACTCCGCTGGACCCCCAAGCAGCCTTCGAAAATAGCAACCCCCCAAGGACGGCGAGGTCCCGCTCAGATCCGCGCGGTGCCTCATTCCGCTGGACCCGCCAATACGCTCTTGAAAGTGGCGACGGTTTCACAGATCGCAGCCCCCCAGGGACGGCGAGGTCGCGCTCAGATCTGCGCGGTGCCACTCCGCTGAACCCTCCAGAAGCCCTCGAAAGTGGTGACAGATTCGCAGATTGCTATGCTGCCCCCCCAAGCAGCCCTCAAAAATGGCGACGGTTTCGCAAATCGCAGCCCCCCAGAGATGACGAGGTCTAATTTGGTTCCGCGGCCACAGTTTCGCAAATCGCAGCCCCCCAGGGATGACGAAGTCCAATTTGATCTGCGGCGGCTATGCACTACAGCTGGCCCCCCAAGCAGCCCTCGAAAGTGGCGACGGTTTCGCAAATCGCGCCCCCCCCCCCCCCCCCCCCCAAGGGACGGCGTGGTCTACCTTGGATCTGCGGCGGCCACCCACTATCCTGGCCCCCCCAAGAAGCCCTTGAAAGTGGCGACGGTTTCGCAGATCGCGGCCCCCAGAGACGGCGAGGTCGCGCTCAGATCTGCGCGGTGCCTCACTCCGCTGGACCCACCAGCAGCCCTCGAAAGAGGTGACAGATTCGCAGATCGCTATGCTGCCCCCCAAAGCAGCGCTCGAAAATGGCGACGGTGTCGCAAATCGCAGCCCCCCAAGGACGGCGAGGTCTAATTTGGGTTCCGCGGCGGCTACACACTATAGCTGGCCCCCCAAGCAGCCCTCGAAAGCGGTGACGGTTTCGCAAATCGCAGCCCCCCCAGGGATGACGAAGTCTAATTTGATCTGCGGCGGCTATCCACTACAACTGGCCCCCCCAAGCAGCCCTCGGAAGTGGCGACGGTTTCGCAAATCGCCCCCCCCCCCCCCCCCCAAGGGACGGCGCGGTCTACTCTGCCTCTGCGGCGGCTAGCCACTATGCTGCCCCCCCCCCAAGGAGCCCTTGAAAGTGGCGACGGTTTCGCAGATCGCAGCCCCCAGGGACGGCGAGGTCGCGCTCAGATCTGCGCGGTGCCTCACTCCGCTCGACCCACCAGAAGCCCTCGAAAGAGGTGGCAGATTCGCAGATCGCTATGCTGCAGCGCTCGAAAATGGGGAAGGTTGACGAGGTCTAGTTTGGTTCCGCGGCGGCTACACACTATAGCTGCCCCCCAAAGCAGCCCTCGAAAATGGCGACAGTTTCACAGATCGCAGCCCACCCCTAGAGATGGCGAGGTCTACGTTGGATCTGCGGCGGCTGCCCACTATGCTGGCCCCCCAAGCAGCCCTCAAAAATGGCGACGGTGCCGCAAATCGCAGCCCTCCCCCCAGGGATGGCGATGTCTAATTTGGATCTGCGGCGGCTACCCACTATGCTGCCCCCCGAAACAGCCCTCGAAAGCGACTACGGTTTCGCAAATCGCAGCCCCCCCCCCCCCAGGGATGGCGAGGTCTAATTTGGGCCCGCGGCGGCTACCCACTATGCGGTCCCCCAGCAGCCTTTGAAACTGCTAACGGTTTCGCAGATCGCAGTCTCCCCAGGGATGGCGAGGTCTAATTTGGGTCTGCGGAGGTACACACTGTAGCTGCCCCCCCCAGCAGCCCTTGCAAGTGGCGACGGTTTCGCAAATCGCAGCCCCACAAGGATGGCGAGGTCCAATTTGGGTCCGCGACGGCTACCACCCACTATGCTGCACCCCCTCCCAGCAGCCCTCGAAAGTGGCGACGGTTTCGCAAATCGCAGCCGCCCCAGAGATGGCGAGGTCTAATGTGGATCATTTGGGTCTGCGGCAGCTATGCTGTCCCCCCCCCCCCAGCAGCCCTCGAAAGCGACTACGGTTTCGCAAATCGCGGCCCCCCCCAAGGGACGGCGTGGTCTACTTTGGATCTGCGGCGGCTACCCACTATTCTGGCCCCCCCGAGAAGCCCTTGAAAGTGGCGACGGTTTCGCAGATCGCGGCCCACAGGGACGGCGAGGTCGCGCTCAGATCTGCGCGGTGCCTCACTCCGCTGGATCCACCAGCAGCCCTCGAAAGAGGTGACATATTCGCAGATCGCTATGCTGCCCCCCCAGGCAGCGCTCGAAAATGGCGACGGTTTCGCAAATCGCAGCCCCCCAAGGACGGCGAGGTCTAATTTGGGTCCGCAGCGGCTACCCACTATGCTGTCCCCCCCAGCAGCCCTCGAAAGTGGCGACAGATTCGCAAATCGCAGCCGCCCCATGGATGGCGAGGTCTAATTTGGGTCCGAGGCGGCTATCTACCAGGCTGCCCCCTCCCCCGCAGCCCTCGAAAGTTGCGACGGTTTCGCAGATCGCAGCCCCCCAGGGACGGCGAGGTCCAATTTGGGTCCGCGACGGCTGCTCACTATGCTGGCCCCCCCAGCAGCCCTCGAAAGTGGTGACAGATTCGCAGATCGTAGCCCGCCAGGGATGGCGAGGTCTAATTTGGGTCTGCGGCGGCTACCCACTATGCTGTCCCCCACAGCAGCCCTCGAATGTGTCGACAACTTCGCAGAACGCAGCCCCCCAGGCAAGATGCATCCACAAGAGGTACCGCAGGCAAGATGCACACACAAGAAGTACGCACAAGGCGGGAGGCGGGAGGCGGGAGAAGGAGAAGACGCGACCGTAGTGCTCTATTCAAAACGAATACCCATCCCATGAGGGTTGGGAAAAATCGTCCCCATACTATTGTTTACTGTATTTGAATAGTCCTCCTGTAGAGGGACATGCCCGACTTCATACCAGCCCACCACATGCTGCACTGGCAGCGGGGACGCAGGCGGGCTGGGCGTTGTGGTGCTGCTGCCGCGTCAGGCTCTGCGGCCTCGAAGGCAAGGCTGCTCCCGAACTGCTCTGAGGGTGGTCTGGGTGGGACACCAAACGGAACAAACGTGGGCGATCTTGAGCTCCCATGGGGTATCTCCAGAACACGGAAAAATATAAACATAAACTGTTTACGCTCCGAGCGGATTTCTTGGATCTGCGCTGGACCCCCTCTCTAGCGCGCGGAGCGCGCCAGGAGCGGCACCGGAGGCACCGCCAGGGAGGCCCAGCGGAGCGGCAAAAAGTTCGACCTGGGGCGTCTCTGGGCCTCGCGGAGCCGGAGCCATCTCGGCAGCACTTGCGCGCTTATAGGGGGGTCTTGGGGCTATCATGGGACAGTCCGGGGCCGTCTCGGGGCCGTCTTCAGTCCACCTTGTCTGGAGACCGTCTTCGAAGCAAGCGCGTCTGGCCATGCCGAAGCCGTGTGGGTCCCTGCCGCTGCGGAAGGGGCCAGGGGCCAGGAGGAAGGGGCGAGGTGCCGAAGAGGAGTTGGAAAAGAGGAGCAAGGAGCTTGTAGAGATCAGAAGTGAGCGAGGAGCCAGACGCAAGGAGCCAGGCGGGAGGAACAAGGGTTGATGAGCGACGAGCCCATGAATCTCCCAGTGGCCTCGACGCGCGTTGTCCAACACTTGCGTTGCGCACCGGGCCGTGTTGCAGCCATCTTGAGGCCTTCTCAGGGCCTTACTTGGGCCTCTTGGGCTCACCTGGAGCCCTCCCAGGCCTCCTGGAGCCGGGCGGCCCGCGGGACCACAGGGAGCTGTCCTGGAGGGTCTGGGGACGTTCGAAGGGGGGGCGGGCCTTGGGGCCCGCTTGGAGCGCTCCTGGGCCGCCTGCGGCCATGCTGGCGGCCTCGCGGACCGTCTCGGGAAGATCTGGGCAGTCCTGGAGCCCTGATCCGGGGGCACCCAAGCTGGGGCAGAGGGGGGCGTCCAAGAGGGGGGGAGCGCAAATCATGGCCGGCGACATGTGTGCGGGCCAGGGGGGAGGGGGCGGAGACGTATCGAAATATGGAGAGGCGCCATGAGATCTGGGGAGATATCATGGCCCCCGCCACGACATCCACAAACTTCCTCATCACCCCCCCCTTTGTGCCGCCCCCGACTGTTGGGCCGTCTTGAGGCACACTTGAGGGGGGGTCTCCCGGACCATCACGGGGCGACCTCGGGGGGCCTCGGGACGCTCGTGGGCGATCAGAGGCCCGAGAAGGCATGTATTCGGCCATGCTTCAAACACCTCCTCCCCTCCCCTCCTCTCCTCTTCCTCCACCTCCACCTCCGCCTCCTCCTCCTCCTCATCCTCCTCCTCCTCCTCCTCCTCCTCCTCCTCGCTCAGGGCCACTGAGGGACACGCCGCTGCGCCATACGCAGTGCGTGCAGCAGCTGCGCACTGCAACCGATGTACCGTCCAGGCACGGTCCTGACTGACTTCACAAACCTCTGGGAACTGCAACGTTTTTGCTCCTGGAGCCTCTCCGGAGGATCTCCTTTAAGCCGTCCTGTGGCAGGCCTCGCGGGCTGTCGTGAGGCCATCTCTGGCCGCCCTGGGGCGTCATTGGGGCTCTCCTGGGGGCTTCAGCAGGCTGCCTTGGAGCCCTCTCGGGTGGTCCAGCGCCTCTCTTGGAAAGTCCTGGGGCGCTCCTGGGGCCCCCTCGGGAAAAAAAAACGCCATAAACAGAAACTCTTAGCGCTCCGCGCGGATTTCTTGGATGCTCGCGCCAGGGGCGGCGCCGGAGGCGCCGACGGGGGGGGGCCCCAGCGCGGATCCAAGAAAAACGCGCGGAGCGCCACAAGCTTCTGAGTGTGACGTGTTTGTCCGACTCTCCTGGGGCCATCTTGGAACGCCCCAGGGGGGGGGCTCGAGAGCGCGCTGGGGCCTGCTGGGGCGGCTCGGGGCAATCTGGACCCGGCGCCCATCTGGCCACGCGGCTCCCCCAGGCGCTCGGGCAAGACACTGTGTACGCCAGAGATGCGCTGGAAATACGGTTAGGTCGGGCAGATCCTCCTGCAAGCTGATTTTGGAGGAAAAATGAGCAATAGCCAAAATACACGCAACACTTTTTGGACCATGTTTGCACATTCCTACTTAAAAATAAGGCGACACGAAAATGGTTGGGTGAAGCGGAGGACGCAACAACGGATCTTGGGATGAAGATCTGACCCCCCCCGAATTCGCGGCTCCCCTGGCGGCCCTGGCGCAATGGTGCGTGTAGGTGCCGTCGAGCTCCACCGTTTTCTCCCGCGCCTCGCTCAGCAGCGCCAGCGCCTGCTGCCACAGTCGACCCTTCTCACACGCGCTGATCCCAGCGTTGTAGCTGAACAGGGCTGGCCCGTGGACCGACGTTCCCCACCACGGACTCGCGTGCAAGGGCGAAAATCCTCTGCCTGCTAGCCTGCCTGCGCGCTGTCCTCCGCGCATGGTTGCAGGCCTGCCAGCCTGACAACTTTCATCCTGGGTCCAAACCCTTCATGTTGACTGCCGTGCTTAACGTCATGCGTGCCTGCTTGCCTACTTGCCCTCAACACCGCTTACTCGCCCGCTAACTGCCACTTACTGCCCCCTTCTGCTGGCTGGCACTGTTTGGTGCCGGTTAGTGCTGCTTGCCGCCTCCGATGAGGCCCCCAAAGGGTCCCCCGAGACACCAAGACGCTCCAAGGAGCCCCCCGGGCCGCTAAGAGGCCCCCAAGATGCACCAAGAGGACTCCAAGGAACCTCTCAAAAGACATCCGGATCTACTCCGAGAGGCATCCAAAAGGTCTCTGGCCTTTCTGCTCGCCCTCCTCCTCCTCGTCCTCCTCCTCCTCTTCCTCCTTGTCTCCTTCCTCATCCGCCCACTTTCCTCCTCCCTCCTCCCGCCTCGCCAGCGGTCACAGTGCGCTTGCTGCTGTTCATTTAATCGGGGTGCGTTGTTCGTTTGCCGATTCTGGAGACTTCCAGAGCAGCGCTGGAAGAATCAGCAGCAGCAGATCCAGGGGCATAGATCGTAGCAACCACAGCGCGGCTCCAGTAGCAGCGGCAACGACGCCAGCAACAACAGCAGAAACGATTGTGACGGAGGAGGGCGGCAACGGGAAAGGAGAAGGACAAATCCCCATACGATGGGAAACAAAAACCACGCCCCACACCTCTTGATACACGCTCGGCGCGGGAGGGGTCGCAGAAGCAGCGTTCCACTGTGGCCGCATCTGGATATGATAGCTAGTTTCTGCAACACCCCCCGCGCGAAAAGGTCTCCCAAGAATTGTGGGGTCTGATTTGTTCCAATGAGCTGGTAGTTTCTGGGAGCCGTTCAGAAGAGTTCGATGGGAGCTACGTGAGGTGTTTTTTGTTTTTTCATACGAACATACACTTTGAACAGACCACTGCGAACATGTCAATAGGCGCGGCGGCGTGCCGAATACATCGACGGCCACGCGTTGGCTCGAGACGAATCAGAAATGTTGGCCCCTTGTTGGAGAGCTCTCTGTAAAAACTTGACAATATGGAGATGCACGATTCGCCATACGCTGCGGAAAATGATGCGGAAATTAGCCTGGCGAAGGACCCAGCCACATGCAGGTAGTAGTGGTAGTAGTAGTGGTAGCAGTGGTAGTAGTGGTAGTAGTGCGGTGGGCGCATGGGAACGCAGCCACTGGGGCCTTCGCTGGAGCTCCTTATGGGGCCACGAAACGTGTGAGGGGTGTGCCGACATGGGTGCGGTGGGCGCATGGGAGCGCAACCACTGGGGCCTTCGCTGGAGCTCCCCATGGGACCACGAAGCGTGTGAGGGGTGTGCCGAAATGGGCGCGGCGGGCGCATGGGAGCGCAGCCACTGGGGCCTTCGCTGGGGCTCCCTATGGGGCCACGAAACGTGTGAGGGGTGTGCCGAAATGGGCGCGGTGGGCGCATGGGGGCGCAGCCACTGGGGCCTTCGCTGGAGTTCCCTATGGGGCCACGAAACGTGTGAGGGGTGTGCCGAAATGGGTGCGGTGAGCGCATGGGAGCGCAGCCACTAGGGCGTTCGCTGGAGCTCCCCATGGGACCACGAAGCGTGTGAGGGGTGTGCCGAAATGGGCGCGGCGGGCGCATGGGAGCGCAGCCACTGGGGCCTTCGCTGGAGCTCCCTATGGGGCCACGAAACGTGTGAGGGGTGTGCCGAAATGGGCGCGGTGGGCGCATGGGAGCGCAGCCACTGGGGCCTTCGCTGGAGCTCCCTATGGGGCCACGAAACGTGTGAGGGGTGTGCCGAAATGGGCGCGGTGGGCGCATGGGAGCGCAGCCACTGGGGCCTTCGGTGGAGCTCCCTATGGGGCCACGAAACGTGTGAGGGGTGTGCCGAAATCTGTGCGGTGGGCGCATGGGAGCGCAGCCACTGGGGCCTTCGCTGGAGCTCCCTATGGGGCCACGAAACGTGTGAGGGGTGTGCCGAAATGGGTGCGGCGGGCGCATGGGAGCGCAGCCACTGGGGCCTTCGCTGGAGCTCCCTATGGGCCACGAAACGTATGAGGGGTGTGCCGAAATGGGCGCGGTGGGCGCATGGGAGCGCAGCCACTGGGGCCTTCGGTGGAGCTCCCTATGGGGCCACGAAACGTGTGAGGGGTGTGCCGAAATGGGTGCGGTGGGCGCATGGGAGCGCAGCCACTGGATCCTTCGGTGGAGCTCCCTATGGGGCCACGAAGCGTGTGAGGGGTGTGCCGAAATGGGCGCGGTGGGCGCATGGGAGCGCAGCCACTGGAGCCTTCGCTGGAGCTCCCTATGGGGCCACGAAACGTATGAGGGGTGTGCAGACATGGGTGCGGCGGGCGCATGGGAGCGCAGCCACTGGGGCCTTCGGTGGAGCTCCCTATGGGGCCACGAAACGTGTGAGGGGTGTGCCGAAATGGGTGCGGTGGGCGCATGGGAGCGCAGCCACTGGGGCCTTCGCTGGAGCTCCCTATGGGGCCACGAAACGTATGAGGGGTGTGCCGAAATGGGCGCGGCGGGCGCATGGGAGCGCAGCCACTGGATCCTTCGCTGGAGCTTCCTATGGGGCCACGAAACGTGTGAGGGGTGTGCCGAAATGGGCGCAGTGGGCGCATGGGAGCGCAGCCACTGGGGCCTTCGCTGGAGCTCCCTATGGGGCCACGAAACGTGTGAGGGGTGTGCCGAAGTGAGGCAGATGATGGTGATGATGATGATGGCAGGAGGGAGGGGGCAGCGGGAGGAGTGAACGCGGGGCGCTGACTCTTCAAAACGAGGACCCAACACCACAGGATGGTTGGGGAAAAAACGAACCATGCCGAAAACCGATCGCTGAAACATTGCGTTATGGCCCGGTTCAATGGAATATTCAAAACACTTCTGTGGAAGCGCCGGTTCGCGGTGAAACCGTGCCGTTCGAAATGCCCAGGGACCGGGGGAACAAGGAGGAGAGAGCAGGAAGACTGACGTGTGAAACTTTGAAGAGAAGGCCGAGGATAGATAAGTCTCGCCTCGTACTCAGAAAGCCAAAAATTGAACTCGCAGTGCGCTGCCTCGTCTGTCACAAACACCTGTTCGAGAAACGCAATTTGGATGTCAATGATGAATTTCAAGAGCGTGTTTGCGGCGTGGAAGATCCCCCTCGATGAAAGATAGCACGTGGCACTTCAAAAAGCAGACCATGTCCTGGGTAGTGTGAAAGCGGCCAGTCCGGAGCATGATGCCTCTGCAGACAGATGCTGAACAACGTGTATAACATGCATAACTTGAGATCGAGCAGGACACCCAATAACTTGGAATTGTCCCCGCAAAGGCGGAGCTTGTCTAGTATGTGCGTGTTTTCTATCTCGGGTTCGAAAACCACTTGGTTGGCAGCCGCCTCGTTCGAAGCGGTATCTGTAATGTGTAACACGTTTGCAAAATATTTGTGTTGTTTGACGTGCCGTTGGACATTTTCCAACAATTCAAATCGTTTGCAAAAACGCATTCCCCGAAACCAGTGCTCGAAACCGATTGTCTGGCATCTGCGTAAAATACATTCCAGATAGGTGGACCGAACACTGTACCCTGGAACGCCATGTCCTCCAGCACGAAATGGTCCGACAATACACCGTGTACGCATACTCTGGCCGTGCGGGGCGCCAGCCATGCGGTTATGACATTGACCAGCTTTTCAAATATTCCGACCGCCTTCAATTTTGGAATGGGCCTCGCAAGTCGTACTTTGTCAAAGGCGCCGGACACATCCGAGCATTAAATGGCCACCCGGCGCCCACTGCCGACAGCCCGAACCCAGTGACAAACTGCCTATGCAAGGGCATCAGGAAAACTGCGACCGCGGTGATACGCGAATTGGTGACAACAATATGATTACGCAGCTTCGAAAAATGGCAACAGCACGTTGGCGAAAATCCAGTCCACTGCTTGGCTGATCTGTGAAATTCAATGTATGCGAAAAAAGAACCGTTGGATCTTCCATGATGTAGGCCAGGCACCATGCAATAAAATGGCCCTGGCAAGTAGAGCGAGTGGAGTGGCCAATTCCCCCGCGGATGTCTTCAAAAGGCGTGCTGGTACAGCATCGGGGTCAGCGCTGGAAACTGCGCCAGGATCTCCACGAAGACCCCAAAAAATTCGCAAGGCACCACGTCGTCGAACAGGAACAAAATCTGCCATGATTTGGCCCATGCGCGCGGAGATTTCCGAGACATATTTTTCCTGAGCGGTTGGGAGGCCGAACTTTTTTTGAAGCTTGTTGCGAACATGCCATTTTTGTCATTTGGCTCCAAAAAGCCCAAGCGCCAGGGACGGTGAACAACAAGGTGAATAGACACGTGTGAACTGCCAGCCCAGAGCACCAGGGAATCAGATAAATACCATTATCTATTCCAAAAACGGCGCATCTCCAGAAGCCGCCGTCGCGTACGAATGGCATGCTGTTGGCATTTGTGCGGCAATTCAGCTGAGCAAACCTTTTGCCGTTCATCGTACGATGGCGCTCACGGGCATGAGCTCTCTCGTCAATGAATTCGTGGCATCGCTCATTGACCCGCGGGTACGTGGACCTCCGCGTGCACGTAGTAAACCTACATATATGTTTTCTCTGGCTCTGCGCAAGAACAAAATCGCAAACGTCTCTGCCGCAAAAAACGGGTCGCAATTCGAGAAGAAACCTCGCCAATCAACGTCTCGGAGAGTCGTGCCGAGCCTATGCCAATCAACCTTCTTGAACAACCGGTGCTCCGGGACAATAGGAGCAATGAGAGGAACGTGCATGTCAATCGTCGCGCGTACAATGTTATGATCAGCGGTCGGAAGAATAACTTTGCACACCACTCTTCACCTGAGTTTTGAAAGATCAAGGTCGACCAAGTATTTGCCCCGC